TGTCAACCGAAAGGTTGGCAGCTGGAATCCACCAGCCGCTTTGCAGGATGTGGCCATCTGCTTCAAGATTACAGACTTGGAAACTCTATGGGCATCTCTACTCTGACCCATAAGGTCTCTACCAGCCGCAGCTGAATTGAGGGCAGTGGGTTTGGCTTGGGGCTGGTTTGGGCTTTGCTTCTGTAAATACTGACCCCCTTAGAAACCCTATGGGGCGGTTCCACCCTGTCCTCTAGGGGCGCTGTGAGTCGGAATGGACTTGGCAGCTGTTTTCAGGGTCCTGACTGCCCTACCCTATGCAGCCTCCCCGCTAAGCCTTTGCCCATGCTTTCTACAACCCTCTTCCCTCACCATGGGTCATTCCAATTCACGCATCAGATCTCAGCTCACTTCCTCCTTCCAGAAGCTTTCTGAAACCCCCCTTCAGGCTGGCCTCTGGGCCCCCACAGGGCCTGCACTTCCTGTCACAGCCCTGATCATCCCCTAGCTGCCTGGTTGGTCTGTCTCCCACACTGGGTCATGAGCTCCAGAGAAGACACGGCTGGGTATGTCTTGGGCACCACTCTGCTCTCTGCTGGGTGACTGCTGTGTCTCTAGCTCCTATCGCATGGCCTGCACACAGTAGGAGCTCAATCATTGCAGATAATTAATTTCCTGAGCACGTACCGTACGCCACGCCCTGTACTGGGTCCTGGAAACACAGCTGACCAACACAGACTCATCCCCTGCCATCCCAGATACCCCAGTCCAAAGGGGCCAGAAACCACAAATTAACAAAGAATGAAATGAACAAGAGGAGTTCAGAGCCTGAAAGAATGAGACAATAGACTAACAGGCTGCACAGCCTCCGTATGGACTAGAATACGGGGAGAACCCTGCTTCTCCTGTTCCTGCCGGTCCTCACTTGCCCATGTGATCTTAGACATGTGACTTCGCCTTCCAAGCCCGTTTCCTCCTCTGTAAACTGGGGAAAATGATGGTACCCAGCTCTTGGGCTGTGGTGGTTGGTGTTTTCAGTTGCCCTTAAGGAGTCAGATCAATTCTGACTCCTGGCAACCTCAAGTGTGTCAGAGTAGAAATGTACAACACAGGTTCCCAGGTCTGGGACCTTCAGGAACCGGATCACCAGGCCTGCCTTTCTCTAGAGGCCCTCTGGGTGGGTTTGAACCACCAACCTTTCAGCTAGCAGTCAAGTGCTTAACTGTTTATGCCACCTGGCCAGGGCCTCCTGGGACTGTTGAGGGGATGAATAAGCTTGTCCACTGTGGAAAGCACTTTCAGCCCAGGGCCGGCAGACCTGTGAACAGACCCTCACTCAGGCTCTGGGGGCTGTCAAAATGATTGCTCTTTGCAGATGTGCTGGGGTGGTTACAAGGGCATGTAGGAGTTCCAGACCTGAAATCGCTGGATCTATGGTACAGAAGGGGAAGATGAGGCCCAACGAAGTCCCACAGAATCTCAGGGGTGAAGAGAGGGCTTGGACCTCTCCTGACCTGAGGTAGGTGAAGAGCTTCTGGCAGAACTCTTGTCTGCCACATAAAGGTCTAGGAAAGGGTTCTCTGGAACTAAACATGTGCCAAATGTGCCAACTTCTGCCTCCACCTCCAGCCCCATCATCACCCACTTGGACCCCTGCAGTCGCCTCTAGCCTGGTCCCCTAGCTCCAGCCCGCCTTCCTCAGTCTGTTCTCCTCACAGCAGCCAGAGGGCGCCTGTGAGCACCTGAGTCAGGGCCGGTCCCTCCGCCCACAGCCCTCCAGGGCTCCCACGTCCCTCAGGGAAAACTCAAGTCCTCCACCCAGCCCACTGGGACCTGTGCGACCTGCCTCGTCCCTGCCCTGCCTTCCCTTCCTCCTCTCTCCCCCTCACTCACTTTGCTCCAGCCACACGGGCTTCCTCGCTGTGCCTCCAACTGCACAAGCCCTGCCCTGCCCCCCAGCTCTTCCCTTCACTTCCGTCCCAAGTCTCAGCTATAAAGCCACCTTCTCAGAGAAGCCCTCCCTGACCACTCTGGCTGACGTTCTCAATCCTGGGGCATTAAGACACGCTCTTGGTCACCTTGCCCTGGCCGTTTCTTCAGAGGTCTCTTCCTTTTCTAAAATTATCTTGCTTCCTTATTTCACAGCTGATCTGCTGTCCACGTACCCCACCCCCATCACCTAACTATAACCCCCCTGACTAAAATGAGGACAAGGGACAAATCACATCTGTCTTTGCCTCACTGCACCCCAGTATCTGGGACAATCCCTGGCACACAGTAGGCACCCAATAACTGTTGGTCAAATGGCCAAATGGCCAATTCATTGCAACCATCCGGTCATTTGCAATTTGCAACTGGCTCCTCATCTACTAACCTAAAGGTTGGTGGTTTGAACTCAAACCCACCCAGCAGCACTAAGGAAAAAGACCCTGGCAGTCTGATTGCACTAAGTTTATGACCAAGAAAACCGAGGGGGCAGTTCTACTCCATAACACACGGGGTTCGCATGAGTCAGAACTGACTCCACGCCAGTGGGTTTGGTTTTGTTGGTTCTCTTGCCTCAGTGGTCAGAGACCCTCTATTTCCACTCCCCCGCTTCCCCAGCCCCAGCCTCTGAGCTCTGAGGGTTCCCACCCTTAGGTTTCACTTCACAGAGGCCCAGAGCTGAGCCCAGGCGAGATCTGAGTCAGCAGCAGAAGCTGTCAACGGGCATCACTGCCTAATGATTCATGCCAGCCTCACCCTGCAAGCGAGGAAAGGGGCTGACAAAGTCAAGGTTCAACCCGGGTTCCTAGTGGAAGGAGTGGCAGCTGCCGGCTCAGTGGCACTAACTTGCCCACCTCTCACCCTCACCCCCCACCAATTCCTCTACAGCAGCCAAACTTCCTGAAGTTTCACTTCAATTGTGATGTCCCCACTTCCGACTTGTGTAACTCTGGGTACCAGAGTTCACTTCTTTGTACCTGACTCCCCATCTGTCAAATGGACCTAATAATATATGCTTCTTCCTCTGGGAGTCACTTTAGGGATTAAGATGTGCTTGTATATGTGAAAGCAGCTCTGGTGGAGTAGCGGGGAAGACACTTGATTGCTAACCAGAAGGCCGGCGGTTCAAACCCACCAGCCACTCCTCGGAAGGAAGGTTGGGAAATCTACTTCCGTAGAGATACCACCTCGGAAACCCAAGGAGGGTCACTATAGTCAGAATTGACTCCATGGCAGCGAGTTTGGTTTTTTGGTTTTGTAGATGTAAAAGCTCTGGTGGTGTAGTGGTTAAGGCATTTGGGTGCTAACCAGGACAGTGGTTCAACCCACCAGCTGCTCCGAGGGAGGATGGTGGGGCGATCTACTTCCATAAAGATTTACTGCCCCAGAAACCCAATCAGGGTTGCTATGAGTCGGCATCGACTTCGTGGCATAGGGTTGATTTCTTGATTTTATATATTTGAAGCATCAAGAATTGACAAATATTAAGGGCTCGATAAATGTTATAGTCACACATGTATTCTTGACTTTTTGTTGTTGTTGTTGTTGGGTGCCCTCGAGTAATTTCTAACTCCTAACGACCCCATGTGACAGAGTGGAACTGCCCACAGAGTTTCCTAGGCTGCCATCTTTACAGGAGCAGGTCTTTCTTTGCAGAGCTGTTGGGTGGGTTTGAACCACCAACTTTTCTGTTAGCAGCTGAGCACTTAGTCATTGAGCCACCAGAGTCTTTCAGTAAATGTTAACTCTACTCTTGATCTTGCTAAGCCTGTGGCACTGAATCAGACTGGTCCTTGGGACATGCCTATCTAATGAGCATTTATGCTGTCCTTATGTAGGAGCTCTGGTGGCATAGTGCCTAAGCACTTGACTGTTAACAAGAAGGCTGGCGGTTCAAACCCACCAGCCACTCCTAGGGAGGAAGAATGGGCAATCTACTTCTGTAGTGATACCGCCTGGGAAACCCAAGGAGGGGTTGCCATGAGTCGGGACCACCTGGAGGACAGTGAGCTGAGTGGTTATGTGTTAATAAGCACGTGACTGGCTGACAACCCGGAAACCACAAGTACCAGAGGCAGGGTAGTCCATTCCAACTCATGGTGACCCCACGTGTGTCCCACTGCACTGTCGGGTTTTCAGTGGATGATTTATCAGAAGTAGATGCCAGGCCTTAATTCTCAGGCCCCTCTGGGTGGGCTCGAACCGCCAACCTTTCGGTTAGCAGCCAAGTACGTAAGGACTCTCACCCTGAAAAACAGCAGGTAATCTCACTTTTCAGATAAGAAACTGCGGCTCAGAGACGTAAAGGCACTTACCCAAGGGCACACTGTGGGGCTTGAATTCAGCATCAGTGGTGGAGCTCCAAAATGCCTTCCCAACAAGGCCAACCTCAGAGGAAAAGGGTTGTGTACGAAACTACTACTCTATCCACTTCTGATATTAGAAGACACGTGGCCGCCTAGGAGACTACATTTCCCAGCCTCCCTTGCAGCTGGACAGAGCACCATGTGCCTATCTTCTGACCAATAGGATGAGCGTAGACTCCAGCGCGCAATTTCCAGTTCGCTCTTTTCAAAGGAGGCGCGCTTTTCCCTCCTGACTCCCTCTTTGAAAACCGTCCCTAGTTTTTCTTAACAAATAGCTGGGCAAAGGTCTTCCGGAGGATAATGGCTCCGGAAAATCGTTCAATAAATATTTATTATAATCAAAAGACCCCATTTCCCACTCACATTTCCCAAAAGACCCCCCCACCCACCCAAAGAGCGAGCGAATTTGTAAACACCAAGTCTCATTCCGGCCTTTCTGAAGGCCAGAAAGTCATCGCGGCCCCTTTTGCACTATTTCCTGGCCACTGAAGTCTCCCCGGCCGTGTCATAAAAGCCACTGAAGATCCCAGCTAACTCCCACTGCTCCCCCAAGGGGTGAGGACAAAGGGGACAGGGAGGGTGGCAGACAGGGGTCTCAGAGGCAACTCAAAGCCCATGCTGGGGTCCAGGTGTCCCCATGGGCCGAGGTCATCCAGCCTGGCCACTCAGTCATTCTGCTTCTTGGGTCTTGTCCTCGGGGGCCTGAGTTCCCCTCTGTCCCCACATGTGGTTGTTGAGCCCTAGCTGGACCATCTGTGCGTGGTGGATGATGAGGGGCTGCAGCCCAGGGCTCGGAGGGGCTGCAGGGGAGGCCGGCAGGAAGGAGGGGCGCTGCGTGAAGGCTGGTGGGTTGCCAGCCAGCCCCGGAGGCAGGGGTGGCTGAGGGTAGGCTGGCCAGGTGGGCATGGGTGGCTGCAGCCCCACGGGGACCTGTCCTCCAGAAGGCATATGTGCTCTGGGGGGCATGTGAGTCCCCAATGACATCTGGGTTCCGAAAGCCATATGCAGCTGTTCCATCTGGGCCTGCCAGGCCACGTAGCTGTGCATGTAGGCAGAGTAGGCAGCGTTCATGTCAGCTAGCTGCTGTCGCTCACCCTCCAAACGCTGGCTCTGTTCCCGGATGGCCCGTGTCTCCTGCTCCCTCTTCCAGTTGGCCTTTCGCTCTTGCAGCGTCTGCTTCTTGAAGGTGTTCTTCACCTTCCTGTTGAAGAGCTGGGAGTGTTCGTCCAAGTACACAAGGCTGGAGAGCAGTCTGGATGTGTCGGAGCTGAGCTGGGATGTCTCCAGGGGCCGGAAGGGGATGACGGAGTCCAGCCAACCAGGCCGTCCAAAACTGTTCATCAGGGCCTGGCTTACCTGGTGCATGCTCAGGCGGCAGTCGAAGTTGGGAGTAAGCAGCAGGATGGTGAAGGCTGAGTGGTCGATGGCGTCCTGCAGGCAGGTGAGCTCACCACGCCCGGGCACCTGGAAGTCCTCACAGAAGGTGGCCCCATCGGGCACACCCAGCTCCTCGAGCCTCTCTCGGACACGCAGGGCCACGTGCTCATCGGCCCTGGCATGGAGTACCACGAAGTTATAGAACTTCTGTTCCGATGACTCCAACTCGGGGGGCGAGGGGTCTGAGGATGAGGGTGGGGCGGCTGCACACTGGGGCGATGGAGAAGGAGAGGGAGAGGGAGGGGATCTCTGGGGAGCCGGAGGAGGAGGTGGGCACGACTTGGTTTTCTGGGAGGCAGTGTCTTCTACAGAAAGTGGGAGGGGTGTACCGTCCTTGGTGGGGTTGTTAGTAGCCTTCAGGACAGGTAAGGGGAGAGACTGGGGAGGTGAAAGGAGAGACTTGGGGGCTGAGAGAAGACACTGGGGGGGTGAGGGGGGAGACTCGGGGGGTGAGGGGAGAGACTGGGGGGGTGAAGGGGAAGATTGAGGGGCTGCAGACATCTCAGTACACTCCACTGGATAGTGGGCTCTGGATTCTGGAGGTGCTGAGGGGTCAGGTGGGCCAGCAGGACTTGGATCTGGGTCCACCACAGGTAACTGAGGCACTGCACTGAGCGGAGGCTCCTGGGGGGGGTCAGTCTCTACAGAAGGGGGCCAGCTCACCTGCTCGGGCTCCTGATGGCCCACGGGCGCAGGCTCAGGCCTGGGGCTGGCCCAGGGCTTGCCACAGAGCTTGCTGGGCCCAGGGGGACTGCGGGGCTGGGTGAGGTAGGGCACAGTGGGTGACTGGCTGATCTCCAGATTGCTGGCCAGAGAGGCTGGGCTGCCAGAAGACCTCAGGGAGCAGGCCCGGCTCCAGCCCGAGGGAACTTTAATGGGCTGTGGGAGGCTCCGGGTCCCCAAGGGTGACGCCGAGGGTGGTGGGAGGGTGCCTAGATCGGAGCGCAAGCACTGGAAGTCCCCCAGGTCACTGACATCCCACCCACACCGGTCACGGGCCTCGGCCTGGAGCTCCGGCAGCCGGGGGTCATCCATAGAGCTGAAGGCCTGGAGGGCGGCATGGTAGGCAGCCTCCCGCAGCGACACCGGGCACAGCTTCTCCTCGGCGAGTAGGTGGTACACGCGGGCAACTGTCCAGGACATGTCTGGTGGTTCCTCCGGGGCCTCGGGGACGTCCATGCCGGCCCACTGGTGGGCCACGAACCGGGCCGCTGAGTCTGTCCTCAGCATCTCTAGGGACAGCCGGGCCTCAGTGTCCTGGCCCAGAGTCAGGAGCACCATGGCACGAAGAAGGCCAGCCCCCTGGCAGCTCAGGTGCAGCGTCTTCAGTTTGTGCTTCAGGCGCAAGAGCTTGTCCTGGCCGACTGTGCCTAGAATGTTGAAGGCTCCGGGGAGCGAGGGTTCCGTGCAAGCCATGCGTGCAGCTGGATGCGGCCTCTGGGGGCGGGAGAAGCACTGAGTGGCCGAGGCATGTTCTGTGCCGCCTGACTCCTGCACGCTGGGCGTCCCCTATCCCCTGACCGTGTTGGGTGCTGGGAGGTTCTCAGAGCACACCTGGTGGGGGGGGGGAGAAGACACATCGTTACCACCAGAAAGGGGGCAGCTCACCTGCCTTCTTCCAAATATCACCACATCCTATCAGTGACCCCAGTTAAGACATGTCATCTCCCCCGACCGCTGTGTATATTTGACACATTGAACACAAATGACTGAAAACCAGATCAACTGTGCGATGACAGCAAAAACATCATACATGAAGAAAGCAAAAGGTCATTAGAAAGACAGGAAGGAAGAAAAGACCAAAATGGATGTCAGAAGAGATTCTGAAACTTGCCCTTGAATGGACAGTAGCTAAAGCAAATGGAAGAAATGACAAGATAAAAGAGCTGAACAGAAGATTTCAAAAGAGCAGCTTGAGAAGACAAAGTCAATTATTATAAGGAATGTGCAAAGACCTGGAGTTTGAAAAACAAAAGGGAAGAACACACTTGGCATTTCTCAAGCTGAAAGAACTGAAGGAAAAAGTCAAGCCTCAAGTTGCAATATTGAAATATTCTATGGGCAAGATATTGAGTGATGCAGGAAATATCAAAAGAAGATGGAAGAAATACACAGAGTCACTGTACCAAAAAGAATTGGTTAATGTTCATACATTTCAGGAGGTGGCATATGTTCAAGAACCAATGGTATTGCAGGAAGAAGTCAAAGCACACTGAAGGAACTGACAGAGAACAAGGCTTCAGGAATTGATGGAATACCCATTGAGATCTTTCAACAAACAGATGCCACACTAGAGGCATTTACTCGTCTGTGCCAAGAAATTTGGAAGACAACTACCTGGCCAACTGACTAGAAGCTCCATATTTGTACCCATTCCAAAGAAAGGTGATCCAACATAATGTGGAAATTATCGAGCAATATCATTAATATCATATGCAAGTAAAATCTTGCTGAAGATAATTCAAAAATAGTTGTAGTAATATATTGACAGGGAGCTTCCAGAAATGCAAGTTGGAGTCAGAAGAGGACATGCAACAAGGGATATCATTTCTGATGTCAGATGGATCTTAGCTGAAAGCAAAGAATACCAGAAAGATGTTGACTTGTGTTTTATTGACTCTGCAAAAGCATCTGATTGGGTGGATCATAACAAATTGTGGATAACATTGAGAAGAATGGGAATTCCAGAACACTTAACTGTGCTCATGAGGAACCTGTACATAGACTAGGAGGCTGTCATTCAAACAGAATAAGGAGAAACTGCATGGCTTAAAATCATGAAGGGAGTGCATCAGGGTTGTATCCTTTCCCCATGAACACAACATCAGGATCGGAGAAAAACTCATCAACAACCTGTGACATGCAGATGACACAATCTTGCTTGCTGAAAGTGAAAATGACTTGAAGCATTTACTGGTGAAGATTAAAGACTACAGTCTGCAGTAAGGATTATACCTCAACATAAAGAAAACAAAAATCCTCACAACTGGACCATAATCAGCATCACAATAAATGGAGAAAAGATTGAATTGTCAAAGATTTCTTATTACTTGGGTCCACCATCAACACCCATGGAAGCAGCAGTCAAGAAATTAGATGACGTAAAGGAAGGCTGGGCAATCTACTTCCATAGTGATACCGCCTTGGAAACCCAAGGAGGGGTCGTTATGAGTTGGGTCCAACTCGATGGCAAATAACAACATTGTACTGGGGAAATCTGCTGCAAAAGACCTCTTTAAAGTGTTGAAGTGCAAAGATGTTACTTTGAAGACTGAGGTGCGCCTAACCCAAGCCATGGTATTTTCAATCGCCTCATATGCATGTGAAACCTGGACAATGAATAAGGAAGACTGAAGAAGAATGGATGCCTCTGAAGTGTGATGTTGGAGAAGAATATTGAAAGTCCCATGGACTGCCAGAAGAAAGAACAAATCTATCCTAGAAGAACTGCAGCGGGAATGCTCCTTTGTTGAGGTGTTGTTGTTATGTGCTGTCAAGTCAGACCTGATTCATAGCGACCGCTCTTTGATTTTCCGAGGTGGTATCACTGTGGAAGTAGATTACCTAACCTTCCTTCCAAGAAGTGGATGATGGGTTTGAACTGTCAGCCTTCTGGTTAGCAGTCAAGTGCCTTAGGCAGTTACCAGAGCTCCTTAGAAATGAGAACAGACAGACTTCATCTCACCATTTTGGTCATGTTGTTAGAAGAGATCAGTCTTTGGAGAAAGATATCATGCTTGGTGTTCTGGTTCCCTAGTGCCACTCTGACAGAAATATACCACCAATGGGATGGCCTTAACAAACAGGAGTTTATTTTTACAATTTGGAGGCTTTAAGTCCAAGTTCAAAGTGCCAGGCTCTAGGGGCTGGGTGAAAGCCCCTCAACCTTGGGGTCCAGCTCTGCCTCCTGCTCCCAGCCCACTGGAGCTAGAGGCATTTCTTCACTCAGACAGCTGCTGGCTGCTGAGACTAACAAGCCTAAGGTTGACAAGTAAAAAGGCACAGTCACAATGTTACCAAACCACATGGCAGGCAATTAACTTAAGTCCATTAAGTCCCAAGGTTGGCAGAGCATGGCAGGCTGCTGAGCAACGACATGGCTACATACAGGGCCCAAGCGTGCCATAGGCTAGAGACCATTCCCAAGGCTTCTCCTTATATACAGGAAGCAGACCACATTCCCAAAGGCAGCTACTCAGCTGCTCCCAGTAGATTCCACCATGGAGTTGATTACCAATCTCATCATGGGGAATACCACCATCAGCTGCCCAGGCACTCAACCAGGCCCAGCCAAGTTGACACACAAACATAACTACCACACTTGGTAAAGTGGAGGGTCAGGGAAAAAGGAAGACCCTCAACAAGATGGATGGACACAAGTGGCTGCAACAGTGGGCTCAGGTATAGGAAGGGTTGTGAGGATGGTGCAGGACCAGGCAGTGTTTTGTTCTGTTGTCCATAGGATCACTATGACTAGACAACACCTATAATAACAACAACAATATAATTCTTGGTTAGTAACCTTTTTCTGCCTTAGGGTCTTATGTATGTCATCCCATTGCCTCCTTCCTTGCTTCGTTTCTGCCCAGAAATCAGAGCTTAGTTCTCCTTTGTAGGTAACATTTCCTCTTACCCAGGCTGCTCTCAGGATTCTTTCTTTATCTTTTGTACTAATGTCAAGGGGAGGTGTCTGACCTCCTCTAAATTCACATGGGAGAGACAGAATAATTATCTCCATTCACAGTCCAAGGCTGATTCCTATGAGGCAGGGGTCAGACATGCCTTCTTACCCATTCTGACACCAGACATCCCTACTGTGGCACTCTACTTCTCGCTGGATTCAATAACTTGTTGCAATGGCCACACAGAATTAACAGACACTGCTTACAACTATGGGGTTTATTAGGGAAGTAACAGATTAAAATTCAGGATCAGAAACTACTCAGGATACAGTTCTTCGATCAGGGCAGCTGTGATAGTTGGAGCTGTGTGTCAACTTGGCTGGACCCCAGTTCTGTGTGGTTGTTCCCATGGTGGGATTGGATGACTGTGTTCTGAGTGACCAATCTGTCAAGGGGAGTTTCCCTAGGGGTGTGGCCTGCTTCCAGGATATCCTGGGACATCTTGGGAAGAGAGACATTCTTCTGTGGATGAGGATTCTGGTGTGCTGCCTACAACTGTCCGTGAGTGAGCAGTCCATCGTTTGGCCTGGAGATTTTGGATTCATCATTCATTGGAGTCAACAGCCAGTGTACTGCCTGCCAGCCTTGAGCTTCTCAGCCCCCCTGCAGTTGCGGAAGCTAAGAAAAGCCTCCTGCCTGACATTTGCTCCAGGGACTTTGGACTTGCCAGCTTCTATATGTTTGTGAGCCATTTTCCTAAGATAAGTTTCTCTCTCTCTCTCTCTCTCTCTCTCTCTCTCTCTATATATATATATATATATAAGCTTTGCTGATTTTTGTTTCTCTGGAGAACCCAGTCTAACACATTCCCAGTCTAATACAGCAGCTTTTTGTCATCAGTGCTTACAGGCACACCTCTCTCTTGCCCCAGTCCCTTGGTCCCATGCCCCCTTGGTTCCGTGCTTCCTTGGCCTCTTGCTTGGGCAACAGTTACATAGCTCTTTAAGCTCTGCCTGTAAGTGCCCAGAGGCACCCCACTTCAGCAGGAAGCCTCGGTCTGAAGGCACTCAGCTCTAGCTTTGTGTTTTGGCAAACGTAGCTCTGCCAAGTGCCTGGAGGCACCCTCCCCACCAGCACACCTCCTTCCTAAAAGTGCCCAGCTTTCTCCGTCCGTGTGTCCAGAAAACCACCATGCTGTCTCCCACGGTCTTGTGGTTCTGCTGCCTCTACCTCTCTGCCGTCACTTCTTTTCCACTGCTTCTCACTATCTGTCACCATCTCTCCAGGGTTGCAGCTCTTCCCTGGATCGAGGTGGTTCCTGCACAGCGACCCTGGGTCCACAGAGCATGCTCCTGTCCTGTCTCTCCTTCTTGGTAGTAGTCAGCCTCCCCCACCCCCAAGGTCGCTTTGGAACTGGCTCTCTTTTGAGCCTAGCAAGATGGCAAAACTGACCAGTCTCCTCACGAGTGTTCCATACATGCACCTTATTTGCACAGTCCCACCCACCCAAGGGTGCTATGCATTTTATTTACATTATTAATAACCTATCCAACCCTCTTCCACCACGTGTCTGTCAGTTTGTTGTATTGTGGTGGCTTGCATGTTGCTGTGAGGCTGAAGGCTATGCCACCAGTGTTCCAAATGCCAGCAGGGTCACCCATGGTGGACAGGTTTCAGACTAGGACATACTTGGAAGAAGGAAGAGGCCATCTACGTCTCAAAGAATTGGGTACTGAAAACCTTATGAATAGCAGTGAAACACTGTCTGATATATTAATGGAAAACTTTATGAAC